ACTAAGCTAGTGAGAGTTAAGCCTTGCTTCGTTTCTCTGCTCAGTTTCTCAAAGCTGTGATCCAGGTGTTGGCCAGACTTGTTCTTATTTGGGGGTTCTGGGTTCTCTTTCCTATTCCTCATGATTGTGGCAGGACTCACTTCTCCTGCTATGGTGGAATGAGGGTTTCCTGCTTTGCTATCAGCCAGGGGCCCTCTGAGCTACTAGAAGCCAACTCACATTCCTTGCCACTTGGCCCCTTCCAACCTTCAAAAGCTGTCCAATGGGAATTTTCCATCACATGGAATCCCTGTCGTGCTTCCCAAGAGGAGTCCCAGTCCCCTATTTAAAGACTCGCCTGATTTAAGTCAGGCCCCATTGAGGATAACTTCCCTTTTTTTAAAGTCAACTGATTGGGACCTAAAAGATATCTGCAGATTATCTTCAGAGCAGCACCTAGACTAGGGTTTGTGTGCATAACTGAGAGAGGGTGTGTGTACACTAAGGATGGGGTCTCAGGGGCCATCTTAGAATTCTGCCTACCATAAACTCTCATAAATATTTGATAGTTTTCTTGTTATCTACTTGCTTATTACCTGTCTTCCTTCATTAGAGTATAGGCACGATGAAATAAGGACCTATTGTTTTTATTTTCTGTTGTATTCAGAATGCCTAAAATAATGCCTGCTGCATTGTAGATGCTTAATATGATTCAAAAGAACAAGTAGCAGAACTTGGACTAAAACTTGGGTTTTTGACATTCAGTGATATCATAAATCATCTTTTTCATATGTCATCCTTTTTTGCCAGTATGGTTAAATACTAAATAGTTATTTAAAAAATTTTAGATATACCTTTAAAGATACACTTTATATGTATATTTTTAATATTTTTTGTTGATTTTAGAGAGAGGAAGGGAGAGAGAAAGAGAGAAATATCTATTTGTTGTTCCACTTATTTATGCATTCATTGGTTGCTTCTTGTATGTGCCCTAACTGGTGATCAAACCTGAAACCTTAGTGTATCGGTAACTGACTGAACTATCCAGCCAGAGAGATCTACTTTATACTAAAAGAAGCGTAGAGTTTTGGCGTAATGGTGAATTCTCTAATTCAATTCCCTCACTGGCTGAATTATCCCTAGAATACAGGTGTCATACTTTAAATAATGTAGATGTTTTCTATGAAATGAGTCTTGAATGGAGACGAAAGAAGTGTTACATTTATGCTGCTGAGTATGCTGTATTCAAGAGCTTACTTCCTGTTGAAGTCAATACTTCTTTTAACTAGGATGGAACATAGTTGCCAGGAGCATGTCTAAAAGGAGAGGAATTATAGTCGGTCCTCTGTATCCGTGGGTTCTGCATCTGCACATTGAAAATATTCAGGAAAAAAGTTAAGTTGTTGGTGTGTATTATATAGTTAGGCCTATGGTGGTTGTGTCTGTATTGAATATGTACAGACTTTTTTTATTGTCATTATTCCCTAAACAATGCAGTATAACAACTATTTATAAAGCACTTACATTGTGTTATGTATTTATTATAAGTAATCTAGAGATGGTATAAAGCAGTGGTTCCCAAACTTATTTGGCCTACCTAAATTTTAATAGCAATTAAACAGAAAGATATATGTATTAATGTTTCTACCTTTTTCGTAAAATATAGTAAAGAAAGGTGTAAATTAGAAACATTGAAGTTTGAAATTATGAAACTATTTATTGAACTCAGAATAGAAAGGTAATACAAAAAAAGTTAAAACAAATGCACCTGTGGCCATCACCACCCCCCTGGATCGCTGCAGCGCCCACCAGGGGGCGGTAGCGCCCACTTTGGGAATCACTGGTATAAAGTATTTGGGAGGATGTGCTTAGGTTATTAGGTTGTATGCAAATACTATGCCATTTCATGGAAGGGACTTGAGCGTTCTTGGATTTTGGTATCTGCAGGGGTTCCTGGAACCAGTCCTTCACTATACCAAGGAACAGCTGTATCTACACTCTGCGTTGTTAAGCCCTCTAAGATCTTTTTGGAGAAGAAGC